GTATGTGTAGTGTAGTGTGTGTGTGTGTGTGTGTGTGTGTGTGTGTATGTATGTATGTATGTATGTATGTATGTATGTATGCTTGCTTGCATGTATACATACATACATACATACATACATACATACATACATACATACATACATACATACATACATACATATAAATAAATAGTATATATATATATATATATATATATACTAACAGGTAACGTCAGTAGCTGTGTGTGTTTCGATTTATAATCGTTGACAGGAGAAAATATATTCATATGCGTAGTTGGTAAGATAGTAACCATTCTAGAAAAAACCATCAGTTGGTACTCACCAAGATATTACTCACTCGTCCGATATTGCTTCGAATCGATTTTGGTACCTGATATCTGCTTTCTACATCCGTAGCAACTTCTCTCCCCAAACCTCATGACAGATAGCTCATAATGACATATTTGAACGGCTTCTATACGGCCCTGTTTGAATGTAGGCGTGGCCGCCTATACAACTAGTATAGGTAGGTTTCTTTCACACAAGGACAAGAAAACTACAAATGGCTATCCATTCACAGTTTGCAGACCATAGTCTGTTCGATTTGAGATTTCACGTGACAGTCTGCGGAGGCATGCGAAATAAAATAGGTTGCATGTAAAAATACATCTCCGAGTCCGTCCAGCGTCTACTACCACATATCACATGCATATGTACCACATTCCACATAGTCTACAAAAATGATGACAGGGATTTTTAACCAATCACATCCTCTCGCTTAGTCTAAAAATAGATTCATGACAGAATGTGTCATCGATTTTTCCCAAACCTAAATGGCTCAATGGCCAGCAGTGGGGAACAGAATATTCTATGGCCGAACAACACGAACGCTACACTATTGTTGTAAAAAAGGCGCGTACTCCACGTTCATACATCCACAGGTGCTTGCATGCTTGCGGATACTTCACGTCTTAATGTTTGCGCAGCATCGTTCCTGTTATATGGTCCCCAGATATAACTAGCGTGAAGGTGGAAATACGAAGCAAGCTGCTGTAACGCCCTATGGCAGAGGACAGTGCCCTCTAAAGCCCAGCAGAAAGTTTCCCACCAGAGATTGCTACGTTTAGAGCAGGCGATAAGTAGGTTTTTGTTGAGATGTTGGTGTGCCACAGCTTAGGATGGCGCGTGTCGTCTCTTAAACTAGTTTTGGATGGGCTTCGATTGCGTGCACAGCCTCGTATGCGAATACACTCACAGTCATGCACAAGCACTTCGCAACCCAAGCGTGTACAGAATTCATGTCCTGCTCACATGGTCTCGTACGCAGCGCAGTGCCGGAAATTACCGTGTCTCTCTGCGTCTGTTCACACACGTATGCTACATGCAAGCGCTCGTGCAAACCACGCACAGCCCCTTCAATCACCGCCCGATGGGTCGAACCCTTTGACTCTACGGTCGGCCTTTTCGTACACCTACTACTCCCAACACACTCATCTCAACAACACCCACGCGAACATCACCGGCATCTTCAATCTGCCTGTGCTCAAGACCAGTGACGGGTTCCAAACATTTGCCGATGAAGCCTTACGGGAGAGCGAGGCCTTGCGCATGCAGATTGCACAGTGTGCTCCGGGTGTGCACGTAGTTGAACTGATGGATGCGCTCAGTGACACGCTGTGTGCCGTGGTGGATCTGGCGGAGTTTGTGCGCAACATTCACCCCGACATTGAGTTCCGCTCAGCGTGTGAGGATGTGTGTAGACGGATACATGCGCATTTTGAAGAATTGAACACGGGTATGTGAACACCACTATGCTTGCATGTGTATATGAACAATAGCCTGTTCGTCTCAGGATCAGGGCAGCTTGCCTAGTGTCGTTTGTTTTCGGTGTGGTCTATGGCAGAATCGGGCTCCGTCCAGCCTCTGAAGGTGAGGTTGCTTGCAATTGAATATTTGTGCACGATTATTGCGGAAGCTGCTTTTTTTTCTGTATCGCACTAGTTTCATATAACCGAGTTTGTTGAATTATTCACGTAGGCTGATGCTAGCGTTCTATCGAATTGTTCTTATTGGTGTATATGACCATGTTTGTTCTACATCGCAGTTCATTGTCATCTATTTGACGGTCTGATATGCTCCTCGGTCGGTATAAAGCCTAGTTGTTTGTTCCAGACGTCTTCTATGTTATACTGTGCTATTGCGCTCTTATACGTTTGTCGACCTATGCCGACATCTCTTTTACAGTCACTGTTGTATGCCCGCTTTCGCCGTATACATGTACATTTACCTGCCGTTACGAATCATACATTCAAGAAAGCATATCCCCCCATCTACCCAGTCACTGCTCCGTCCTCGTGACTATCGGGGGGTATGCTCTCTCTGCTCACCGTAGTATTCCTTGCTGTCGAATACTCATACTTTTATCGTATCGCTACTCTTGTGGTACCAATCCACTTCCACCGGTCTACACTGTACAGCGCTTTGGCATTAGTGAATTCGTGATTCATGTTTATGTCTTATGAGCCTGCATTGTTGCAGTGGGCGATACACCGTGAATTTTCAGCTGGACACTCATATGAAGACTGTGGATAGTCAGTTTTGTGCTCACATACACATACTTCCTCGACTAAATTTAAATATCAACTCGTCTTTAGTACAATAATGTCACTTAACATCCTCTTATGGAAGATTCTTGGTACTTTGACGTAACTTTTCAGCGTCCTTTACGTATCTACATCGCTTGCATACGTCTGAAAATTCGTTCGATGTCTATGTGTTCCCTAATACTCGCCCAGCTTTTTTCGGCAGGTAATACTCTGTGATGTTTGGTGAAGGTATTTGTGCTCATCTCGACTCTGTCGTTTCTTGTGATAGTGTCGCAGACCAATCAGATCGAGAAGATAGGGTGTATTCTTTTCACGTACCCATTGGTGGCTACGTCATGAGAGGTTATACTATGAATGCGTCGCAATTGGTTAATTGTGTTTGGTTGTTTAAATATGCTCTGGTGTTACAAAATGTTTGATCAAGTGTTTCTTAGTGTCGTCTGTGTTTGATCAAGTGTACCTCTCTAGGCGTGCCGTACGTCAATCTACACCAAGAACTTCGTTGATGAGTCCCTTGACCTTTATCCATCTTTGATACACACAACCGAATCGTCCTTGTTTTCTTTTTTTGACATTGTCACAGCGTCCCCAATTCCGTCGTCCACCATTTCCAATATTAAATGCTTATTCCCCTCGCACACCGTTATTCTTGTCATATACTCTCATCCTTGATGTGAAATCCAACCGCTGTCAATACATTGCATTGTTTACCGACTCGTAGATACCCGACTGTCCGATGCGTTGAGGCGTGTGGTTGCGCTGCGTGAATTCGACACATTTGATTACGAAGTGCAACGAACCGCAACGCTGCTGCTGTTTGACTTTGAGCAATCGGCCATTGACGGCAGTCGGAAGGAGCGAGAGGCTGTGCAAGTGTGTGATGATGACACACATACGCACGCACACTGGCACATGCACATATACAATATCCGTAGTGTCTGACAACTTTCCATATACCTGCATCATATATATATATATGTATATATATATATATATATATGTGTGTGTGTGTGTGTGTGTGTTGCTCTACTGTTGTTGATTAACCTTTGTCATTCATTCTCAGGTATGTTGTTACTGAATGTGAGTAGAGCTTTAGACTGAATTGTAGTATCATCAAGTTCGCTCAACCTGAACGAAACGCCAAAGCCAATATTCAGTACGTTAATTTGCTTTGCTACATCCTCGAAAAGGCTCATAATTGACTATATATCTTGTGCACAGGAGTTGACGGCGCGAGTCAATCAACTGGGCCTGCAGTTTGTCCACAACACACAGACCGAAAGAGGGAGGGTGACCATACCCTTGAACGAAGCACGAGTACTGCCTGCTCAAACCATCGCACGCCTACCACATGTGCGCGATAAGAAAGGAGCAATGTCCGTAGCAGTGCACACGCCCAGCTATCAGGTAGTCTAAGTCATATGATGCTCTGACTGTCTGTGTGGATTTCAATTGAGAGGAATGTATATGTTTTGTTAAAGCTACTAGGTTAATGAGAAATCCTTTGTTGTCTGCGTGAATGTAGGGAAGTGAGCGGTGTAATCAGCTATGAGATACTGATTATTTTTTCTGCTGCCAGTGTGAAATCTTATGTAGATGAATGTAATTGTGTGTTGTATTCGAGGTCTTGCGTGTGTGTATAGAGCAAGTTGTAGGTGCCTGTAACCCTGTCATTCCGCTTTTATCTTTCGGACAAAAGTTATCTTGCCCGTTTGTCCTTTTCCCATTTCATTTGTGACTACGGTGAGTTTTCAACATCGAATGAAATCCAGTTGTTCATTGGATATACCTCGTGAGTCGTTGTGTGCGATATGTAACTGTGTATTTTGGGTAGTGAACATCTGCCGACTTCCTTTCAAAAGGTATCTCTGTACCTCACAATGATGGAGAATCTGGATATGCACAATTATGCTCAGAGACATGTATGGATCAATAGATAAATATTCGATTTTGGCATGTATCTGATATATCATCTTGTAGGTATCATTGAGATATTGCAATATCTACCTCTACCATTGACATTTTCCCGGTTTTATATCCTCTTTTCTTCATGTTTTACCTTATGGCTCATGTATGCCCTATATATTATTATATTGTTATATTATTATATTACTATATTATTACATGATTATATTATTATATTATTATATGTATTTTTTTTATGTATATATTTATGTAAATATATATATATATATATATATATATATATATATATATATATATATATATATATATATTTATATATATATGTATGTATGTATGTATTTATATGTGTATATATATATATATGCGCTTGGTATCTGTATTTCGCATACGTGTAGGATTTTTTTTTTCTCAGTGTTGTGGCATTAGTGGAGTAGTAAAGCCTCTGTGTATTTTGGCAGCTACGGATAAGTCCGTCATATAGTCTTCGTGCAATTCATGGTCATGGCTGATAAGTAAGTATTGTTTGTGTCATCTTCCCAAGTAATTGCATCCACTGTGTTATTTATATATATCATCCATCATATTCCACAATGTGTGCTAAACTTCATTTCTACAACGTTAGGCAGAAATGCTTCTGGCGACTTCTGCGAATGCCAATGTGCGCAAAGCCCTCTACACAGCTAACACGCCGGAGAGTCAACCCCGCAGGTAAGTGGCTGTCAGATTGGTAGTGTTGATCGCTATTATTATAGTGAATGTAGTCACGGGCACGTCACACATTGATGGGTTTTTTTTTGGATGACTTTACAACTTTTAAGGTGAGGAGGAAAGCAGATTTCATGAAATTTGTATAGCTACAGGCTATCGGGTACCCCGTTTGCAACCAATGTGTCAATATTATAATATTGCTTCCTCATTTTTCTTACCACAGAGAGGTGCTGATGGGTCTGTTGCAAGCACGCCACGCACTGGCTCTGACCACCGGACATGCGTCGTATGCGCACAAGGCGCTCAAGGACACCATGGCCGAGCAGCCCGAGCGTGTCACAGCCTTTCTCACAAGCATAGCCGATGCATTCTTACCCGAACGCACAGCGGAAATGCAGCAGTTGAGTAGACTGAAGCACACTCACGAGCACACCAATCAAGGGGAGGGGACTACGCAGGAAGGGTTGAAGGCGTGGGATAAGGCTTACTACTCGGAGATCAGAGTATGTGTGAATTCTTGCTAATGTACGTCATCTCGTTATACTTACACACAGTCCCGTCTAGTGTACGTCATCTCGTTATACATACACACAGTCCGTCTAGTGTACGTCATCGTTATACATATACATAGTCCTGTTTAATGTACGTCATCTCGGCAGTATAGCTATGCTTGAGTCATACTGTTTTCTTATCTTGTTGTCACGCATGCCCTACTATATCATGTTTGTTCAATCCCACATAATTATACGGCATTTGGGCAGTAAATACGTTTGCAATGCGCTATTTCATTGCTATGTATTCGCCGTGTTGTCTCGGAAGTCGGCATTTGCTATGAATACAATGTAATACATGACTTACTTATGGGATGTACTGAGTCGTGCTTTGTGGTTGTTTGACGATGGCAGCAGTACTCTCGATTAAAATTGAAATATTGACGCAGCTTTTGTGGTAGCGTCTGCTACAGAAAATTAGTGGTTCATATATTTTCATCGTGAATTGCAGCGTACGCAAACTAGCTCGTCTGTAGGTAGGAGGGGAGGTGCAATGAGTGAGTACCTAGAACTTGGCAATGTATTCGAAGGTTTGGCGGATATACATAGAAACCTCTACGGAGTAGATATTGTACCGGTTCATACACTTCCAGGTAGGTTGAGATGGTGACATATGCCTTTGTATACATGTGCAAGATTGGTTGATAACTACTTAATATCTTCCGCGCTGTTTCACCTGTCATGCTAATACACGTACATCAATTTGTCAGAATATTGGCACCATCCATATATATATATATATATATATATATATATATATATATATATATATATAGTATATATATATATATATATATATATAATATTATATATATATATATA